AGCTGATGAAGCTGATGAATGTTTTGAAAATGATGATGATGATTTGGTTAAAGATGAAAATCATGATGGGGAGGAGGATGATGGGGAGAAGGAAGATGGGGAGGAGGATGATGATATATCTATTGTTACCGAAGCGGACTAGAATGGTGAGGATTACAGTGTTTATGGAAAGGTTAAAGATGAAGATGAGGAAGAAGATGACGATATGTATTTTGAAGATTTCAAAAAGACATATGCTATTGAAGGAGTAAGATCGAATGGTAACAATATCTATGTCTACAAGAGTTTTGTTAGCAAGGATCCACTGCTTTCAGAGCTGCGGTTGACAGCAGTAAGGCGTAAGTTCTCCTTTAGAATATACAAGTCAATGAAAACTCTCCTTGTGGCAACATGTAGGGTTAGTGGGTTTGGATGGAAGATCAAAGCGAGTGTGACACATGTGACAAACATGTTTTGGGTAACAAAGTATGTGGAAACATATACATGCTCAGTGGGAGACCGAATCCTCAGCGGAGACCCTGTACTCCAAAGTATGTTGGTAGGCTTTTCATTGATAGTGTTGGAATCATTGATGGATTGACTCCGCAGCATATCACTGATGCAAAGAAGAACATGTTTGGCATGACGCTTGATTACACCACTTCATACAGAGCACTTTTATATGCACAAACATTGGTGAGAGGATCAGCAGAAGATGGATATTCGCGTCTGCCATCATATCTCGAGCAAATCTCCTTAGCAAATCTCGATTCTTTCACGGCTATAGAACTTGATTCTATCAATAGATTTAAGTATCTATTTCTCTGTTTTGGAGCTTCTGTCAAAGGTTTTAAGTATCAGAGAAGGGTCATTGTGGTGGATAGGACTCACCTAAGTGGGAAGTATAGAGGTGTTTTGTTAGTTGCAACCGCACAAGATGAGAATTTTTGGATATTTCCATTAGCTTTTTGGATCGTAGATGCTGAAGATGAACCTTCATGGGAATGGTTTTACACAAAATTGGCTACTTGTGTATCTGATGAGCAGCCTCTGGTGATAGTCTCCGACCGGTACACGGCCATTAAAAGTGCGTGTGATAAGGTGTTTCCTTGGGCAACCCAAGGAATATGTTATTATTACCTTCACGATAACATTGCCAAAAAGTATAAAGGGAAACATCTCTTGTACTTGGTGAAAGGTGCTGCTAATGCTCATACGGTTTCAGATTTTGACCGGTACATGGCTGAGATACGGAGTGCAAACCCGGACCTTGCAACGTATTTGGAGAATGCCGACGTTAGCCTATGGTCAATGGTTTATTGTCAAGGGGACATGTATAAAATAGAAACAAGCAAGATCGCTGAATCTATTAATTCCGCACTGAAGCGAGCTAGAGAATTTCCGATTCAGTTCATGTTGGAGTTCATAAGGGAGAAGCTAAGAAAGTGGTTTTGGAAAAGGAGAGAAGATGCTTTTAGTCTCCTAACAGATCATGGTCGGACTGTTGAATACTTGCTTCCTGTTCGATCGGAGATAGCAGATACGATGAGGGCCCAACCAATTGATGGATGAAAATTCTTTGTGAAAGGTGGCAAAATGGACTGTGTGATTGATTTGGAGAATGGAAAGTGTGATCGTGGAGTCTATCAAGTGGAGAAAATACATTGCTCTCATGCTATAGCTGTTGGATCACATGCTCGTGTGCATATCTCCACACTTTTACATCCAGTGTACTCAAAGAATTATTTGTTTGTAGGATACTCAGAGAATATATATCCTTGTGCTGGACAACAAGTTAATCTTTCTGCCGAAAAGTGTTGTCCGGGGAGACAGAAGAAATCAAGATGACAACCTTGTTGGAGCTATCCCAGATGAGAGGACTTTGGCAGTTCATCTACTCCCCACTCTTATCTTAGAAACCTAAAAAAAAATCAAAATTAACTGACTTTTTTTGACTTAATAACATTTATTAAATGTCTAATATGTTAAGTAAAAATAAAATAAAGAAATAAATAAACATGAAAATGAAGTATTCTATTAGATTAATTATCTGACAATTTACACTTAAGGTGATTGATATACTTTGGCATTTTATCAACTGATATTTTTACAATCAATGGAAAATTTTGTGAAAATCGAGGAAAAAATAGGTGTTGAAGAAGAAAGGTTAATGGCAAAATTTTATTTTATTGTTAATAAATTCGTTTTTTATTTAAATATGGAACAAAATGTTTACAAAATATTTTTATGATTACCAGTTCCCAAGTTTTCGTAATTATTCATTCTTATCTGTAGAATAGACATTCTATTATATGTAGAAATAAGAACACATATTTGAACTCTATTTCTACATTATTTTAGATTTTGAGTTGTTTGTAAATTGTTTATTCTACAAACTTTAGAGTGATAGGTCAATTGTATAAGCATATTCCAAATAATTTTAGATTAATTTTATTTAGGTATATTCTAATTTAAGTAGATTTAATAAAACATGGATTTCAATTTACACTTCGTAGAATGTTAATTTTACAGTCCATATAGAAAAAAATTTGAAATTTTTATTTAAGCATTTTTATAACAAAAAACACCTCTACATTGATATTGGTATTTCTTCGATAGTACCTATTTTCTACTTTTTGGTTTGTAATGCTCTTTATTTGGTTTATCTTGATAAAATGTATTTTGATAAATATAAAAGGGTATTACAAATTTGGTTTTAGCATAATGGAATAATAAATGTGTTGGACTAAAAAATAACTCCCCTCCCCCACCCCTTCCCCAAAAAAAAGAGAGTGAGTTAGGTTTTTTGGTGAAATATTTTTTTTTTTAGTTATAAGATCATATTTCCTTTATTTGCTCCACTAAAATGATTTATCTCCTCTTTGTTCTTTTTCTATCCATCTTTCACAGAAAGGTTGAGAAGATGAAGTTATTTTTGTTTTTTTTGATAGCCGATATCTCAGTCTCTTTGATATAGCTGACTTGACTGGATTAGTTATCCCTCTTTCGCAAAAATTTATATACCATTTTTTTTTTGGTTTGGATTTCTTCTCTGTTCAAGTTTGGATTCTTTTTCTAGCAAGTCACAATCTTTTATTTTCTACAATATCGTTACAAGAGAAAGTTTGGATAAAAGGATGAGGAGATGTTGGATTCAACTTGATGGCTGGGAGATAGTTTAACAGTTTGTTCCGTGGACTCAGGTTAGTTCGGCAGAAACCGATTTTAATCCTTCATCTGTAAGTCTTAAACTTTTTTTAGATAGATTATTAGTGTGTTTGATGTTTTTCGAATCCAAAAATTTATCCGTTAATAACTCTATCACATAATAAGTTATTACTAATTGACTTGCAATTCAAAGAAAATTACTGAAAATATAAATTAAATCTCATCTTATTGATATTTATAAATTAATAAGAAAAATATATTATTATATGTATATTATTATTGTGTGTTAAAAGTGAGAAAGGAAGGAGTTCTTCTTCAAAGTTGCTCTGGCCCATTCCTTATCCCACAGATGATAGGCATTCTCTGAGGAAGAGATCTCCTGTTTAGTCATCTCGGTAAAGCTATAGGTAATGGAGAATCAACAAGAGTCTGGCACGACAACTGGATCCACACAAAGTTGGATTTAAAACCCTTCGGCCCTCTCCAACTGCAAGATCAAGACCTCCTCTCCTGTAAAACAAAAGAATGGAATAAAGCCCTCCTGGAGAAGCTACTATCTGAGCTAACTAAGCATATCACCCTAATCAGCCCAAGAAAATTCGGAGCCTCAGATTCATATATCTGCACGCAACACAAAACTGGGATTTATTATGCCAGGTCGGGGTATCATGCTACGCAATTAGTAAAAATTCAATCAACTACTACACTCTTGGATGGAGAAACTTGGAAATGATAAAAGAATATATGGTCACCTCCCCTGCTCCCAAAGATCAAACTCTTCCTATGGAAGTGCTCTCGAAACGTTTTGCCAATTGGAAACAATCTGATTCGCAGAAACATCACTCACAACTCTACTTGCCTGAGATGTGAAGCCCCAGAGAATCTCCTTCACGTCCTTTTCCATTGCCCTTTCTCTGCTGACATATGGGATTTGATACCATGGACCTCGACCTTTGACTCAGTACGGTGTCTCTCTTTCAAACAAGAGTTTCAGAGCTCTCACCGCATAATAACCTTGCCTCCCATCAGAATCATCACAAATCTCTTTCGTTGGGTTTGTTAAGATATTTGGATTTGTCGTAATCAATTTATTTTTGAAAATAAATCACGGACTCAACAACATGTGATTAATAGAGCCATTACAACATGCAAGAAATGAGAAAGTTTCCAATCGATCATACCTCAACCAAAGGTCTGCACAAGACGACAATTCCAAACCTCTTCTTCACTAAAACAGACTCGACATAAATCTTCTGAGGTTCCTTGTTTCAAGAAGCAGTATCCTCCCCTCTCATCGCATTCACGCCTCTCAACCATAACAAGATCTGGCTCTGCTCAGATTTTCAAGGGCTTATTCAAGCTATTAATTCGAATCTCCGACCTATAGAACTCCACATCATTCTAGTGGATGTTGATTTGATCGTTTCATCTTTTCTTCTCGTTTATTCCACACAACTCTAACGAATTAGCATATAATTTAGCTAAAACTTGTCTCTCTGTGAATTTTTTAAGTTTAGATCTTTAAAAAACCCAACCGTTTTATTTAGTGAACCCCTTTGTTGATCCAAAAAAGAAAAAAGGAGTTTTTCTTCATGTTTTTTTTTTCTTTTTGACATCGAATTTTTCTTCATGTTTTAAATTATAAGAATGAGAAAGATTACATCAGTATTTATAGTACAAGTGGCTTTATGTTTCATGATATATTAACACGTGGTATGATAACAATACCTTGTGCTTTTCCAGATGTAACATGATGGATTATTATATTTTAAGTTTTAACAATATAATCATATTTTTCTCCATTCTTTACTCCACCAAAATCTATCTGTGATACTACTACACACAAGAAAAAGAAAAAAAAAAGGCTTTTTTTCCTTAATATTCATTTCTGCACCGGACTCGCTCATAAACCCAAAAGCCTTCTCTCAACAGAACTCACTCGAAATGACTAAGAAGAAGCTCAACAATCCTTTGGAAGATCCACCGATGGCATCTTCAAGCGACGAAGATGAAGTGGAGGTGTTGTCCGGAGACGATGAAGAAGAAGAAGAAGAGATCTCCAACGATCTCATGAATCCAGTCAACATTCGGTCCAAATCTGAGAAGCCGATCATTGCTGTCACCAAACCCAAGGCGAAGAGGCCGATGGAAACGACGTCGGTTAATGCAAAACGGGCCAAAATCGGAGAGGAGACGACGACGAAGAAAGCGTCGTTGTTTCAGAGGCTGTGGAGCGAAGAAGATGAGATCTCAGTGCTTCAAGGTATGATCGATTTCAAAGCTGATACCGGGAAGAGTCCGTACGAAGACATGCATAGCTTTTACAAACTCACCAGTAAATCGATTAGCTTCGAGCCTAGTAAGATCCAGTTCGTTGATAAGATTAGGTCTTTGAGGAGGAAGTATATGGGGAAAGTGAAGCAAGGTGCTGAGTCTTTGACTAAACCTCATGATATTCAGTGTTTGAAATTGGCCAAGTATATTTGGGGATCGCATGGACTCGCTCTCGATTCTAATGTGAAGAAGCAGCTTGGTAAAGAAGAAGATGAAGAAGTTGTGACTCCTAAATCTGCTGCTAAGTTCAATGGAACACCAAAAAAGAGTGCGAAGAAGCCCATTTCTGTGGAAGCTAATGGTGACAATGGAGGAGAAGATAGGGAGGTGTTGATTACTGGTGAAAAGGGAGAAGAAGATAGAGAGGTATTGGTTAATGGTAAGAAGGTAGATGAAGATAAGGATGTTTTGGCTAGTGGTGATGATGGAAGCGAAGAGAGGGAAGTCTTTGCTGGTGGTGAAAAGGTAGCCGAAGATAAGGAAGTGTTGATTAATGGAGGAGGAGCTTCCAAGTCTCATGTTGTGAGAGCATCTGACTGGTTTGAAGACTCGTTTCTTGTTGGATCTATTGCTGGTTTAGGTGTGGGTGAGCAGTTTGTGAAGCAGAAATGGAGCATGGTGACAGCGGAGACAAAGAAGAGAATGGAAGAGAAGTGGAAGTTATTGCAGGCCAAAGAAATGGAACTTGTGCTGCACAAGACTGACTTTATGCGTGAGATAGGCTCTGTGATTGCTGAAGCATCTTAAGAAGAAGCGTTTGGTTTTTCTTACTAGTATATCGGTTTTAATGGAGATGAAATGCTAATTTCTGTGTTATCTTTCTACATAACTTTCTGGTTTTCTAGTTGATCTTGTGAATTCTCTTCTCTTTTTTTCGGATTGTTGCTTTTCTACAAACAACGTGGAAGTTCTTACGTTCTTGTTTACTAGGTTCTCTTGTGAATTCTTGCTTTTATGTACAAACTCAATGGAAACTTTTGTCAAGTTGAGGCAATAGCTTAGGTAGCAGAAAACAAAGTTGCAGTCTTGCAGAGCCTCTTTACTTCAAATTATCACTAGGTGTTTTTTTGCTGCACATGTGCATTTGAACCTTTGTTGGTTTTGTGACTTCCATCCTGATATGAAAACATAACTACTTTGGAAAAAGTGTTACCATTAAATAAGCAGTAAGGTTGTTACAGAGAAAACTGCCACTGAAGCAAATCAACCAAAGTGATAACAAAAATAATGCCAAATTAGTTCTCTCAGATAGATTTCATTGTTCAATGTTATAATGATTCTTAGTTTAAAAATGAATGAAAGATAACCTAATTCAAAACATACTTTATCTCCTTGTCCTCTTCAACTTCCCAGAACGTTCAAAAGGCACAACCTGAGCCTCCTGCAGCATTCTCTGCCAAAGCTCTTCAACATGGTGACGAGACTTCTTCTGAAACCAAGCTTCAATCTCCGAGTAGAGCACATTTGGATTCTCTTCCCAACTCTTTCTCAACATCTCCAAACTATCAATCTTCTTCTCTTCCAAAGCTTTCACCAAACTCCCAACTCTTTCTAAACCCCAAGCTTCTCTTTCCAACAACGTTTCAGGTTTCCCAGCCAACAACGACCTAACGCTTTTCAAACAAGACAACACCTCTCCTTGAAGCAATGCGCAACCGAAAACTGCTGCTCGGTCTCTATCATCTCTTACTTCCTCACTGTGAGCCGGAAGCTCCCAAAGATGAGGGCCAAAACTAGGAACGACCCAGCAGAAAACTTTATCCAGCTCCCTCGAGTAATAAGGTTTTGGGTCCTTGAGCGGCGTGGAGAATACACAGAGAGACTTTGCGTGTTTAACCAGCCACTCTGGCTTCACCCTTGTAGCCCTTTGCATGTATGGTTTGTTGGATTCCAGGAGGTCACTGTAGACTAATAAATCTGGGGCAGAGTTTATGAGAGAAGACCAGCGGTGCAAGAAAACAGGTACTTGAACCGCACACGCTTGGTACTCGGTGGATTTAGTCTTTCTGGCTACACGGTCTGCCCATCCAGCACATATGGCTTCTCCTAAGAGCTCTTCTTCCTTCTGTAAAAGCGGGGTTTTCGAAGATGCGGTGATTCTCCATGACTTCTCCACGTCTTGTATAGTCCCATGAGTCCATGAGAAAACGTTTTCAGCATCAGAGGACTTACAACAGCTGAAAACATGTCGCAGAAGCTGATCTTTGAGCTTAGACATCTCGTCCATCGTCTTCCAATGCAAACCGTTCGACTCGCAGAAGCCCAAGTCATTCTCCGAGACCTCAAAGGACTGCAACACGTACGCTACGGTTAAAGCATCGCTGCTCAGGTTGGAAAATCTGTCACGAGTAGCTTTGATTTTATCTTTCCGATCTTTCCTCCGTAGTTTATCGTCCTCTTTGTCTGTTTTGCCAGCAGCATCTTCAGACTCGTTTTTGCTCTCTCTTTCAAACTGCATTATCAAAGGGTTTTGCACACTCAACGCAGCTACTGCTGCAACCGCGTATCCAAGGACCAGATTTGCCCGTGAGTAGTTCTGTGCCTCTTTCAGCATTTGGATGACTGTGAGAAGCGTTCTTGAGTGACGTGGACTCATGGGATAGTCAGACATAGCCTTCCCTAATGGTGTTAACCTTCCATTGCTGTCGAGAGCCTCTAAAGCCTTTAAGCATATCTCTGCTTGTTTAATGGATGATTGCTTAGGCGGAGTTGGAAACGGGAAATTTTCAACCTGTAACCAATAGAAAAAAGCAAAAAAAGATTAGTCAGGTCAGGCTTAAGAAACGTTCATTGAGAGTGGTGTGGCTACCTTTTGAATGTTCATAGATTTTAACTGAAGAACGACTCCCTCAACAGGAACTTGGGTGATTTCAGGAGGTGAAGATTCCTTAAATGTGTTGCTAAATACCGTAGATGAGTAGAGACGATAACAGTGACCAGGTCCGGTTCGTCCAGCTCTTCCTGCTCGTTGGCTAGCTGAAGCTTGACTAATCCAATCTACTTCATACTTTTCCACTCCAGTCTCGATATCGTAAATCTTCGCTTTAGACCGACCAGTATCAACCACATACTTTATCCCCGGAATAGTCAGAGAAGTTTCCGCTACATTAGTTGCCACAACCACAAGTCTTTCTCCTTCCTCAATTTCCTCAAACACTCGGAGCTGTGCAGCTGAAGACAGCATCGCATACAGTGGAAGAACACGTAACTTTCCTGGAGTAAATGGTTTCTTCTCCTGTTCAGCTTCTTGATCCTCCTCTGCTTCAGTAGACTTTGTTATCTCCGTAGATTCAGATCCTTTTTTGTCTGCCAAAGCTTTAAACGCTGCACGAAGAGCATCAAACTTCCCATTTTCTACAAGTGAATTCGTAAGGATGTCGTCATCAACTGTTTCCCAGTCGCTTTCATCATCAGAGTCATACATGTCTTCTTCATCAAAATCGTCATATTTAGCATCACCAGTTTCATAAGGATCTTCTCCATAGGAGTTAAACCTGTAATTTTCAGTGTTGGAGCCATCATCAAATGCTTCAGCAATCTCCTTCATGTCAACACCACCAAACGAACTATCCTCCAGGCTCTTCTTCTCAGAGGCATCTATTCTAACAAGTTCCTTTGACGACTTACGTAATTTCCCGCATAAATTATCAACTTCCCTCTGTCCCGTCACAAAAACAAGTATTCCTCCTTGTGGCAACTTCTTGTGAATCGACATAACTTTCTTATAAGCTTCATTGATATAATCACGCATCTTAGTGTTCTTGGCAAAATGTATAGTCACCGGGTACTGTCTAGTGGGAACCTCTATTACCGGAGGTGGCTTAGGGAACAACCTTTTCCCTGATACAAAATCTTCCACTCGCAAAGTTGCACTCATCAATATAAGTTTAAGCGGCGAGATGATTCCATTTATTGTGCCTCCAGATTGTAAAATCTTCTCTTGTTCCTTGTAGTATTCCTGTCGGATTTTGATGACTCGAGTAAGCAGCCCAATTAGAATGTCTGTGTTCAAGCTTCTTTCATGAGCTTCATCAAGAATTATCACAGAGTAACGCCTCAATAAGAAATCATTCTGCAACAGAAGAAACTTATACAATCAAAAAAATAACCATGATTGAGATGAAGAAAAAAAACTACAAAACAAACCATGGTTACCTGAATTTCACGAAGTAAGATCCCATCGGTCATAAACTTGATGGCTGCGTTCTCACCAATCTTTTTGTCGTACCTGACCTGAAACCCGACTTCTTGACCGAGACGAACACCAAGCTCATGCGCCACTCTCTTGGCAGTGGCGAGGACAGCCACACGACGTGGTTGTGTGATACCAATAACCCCACTTCGAGAGCTGAATTGCTTTGAACCAAAACCAGCTTCATAAAGGAACTGAAAGATTCAGAAGAAACGGGATTTGGTTAGCAATGAAACCAGAACTCAGACATAAGCAAAAACTGCACAAAAATGCAACAAACTGACCTGAGGAACTTGAGTGGTTTTACCACAACCGGTCTTTCCTGAAATAATAACAGTGGGATGATAATTAATAGCCTCCATGATCTCTTGCTCCATCATTATAATAGGAAGATCCTTCCTGGACTGTTCAACTTCAGCTGGTCTTGAAACATGAACTACAAACGCAGGTCCTTGTACAGTTACATCTTCACTCTCATCCTGTTTTCATTATCAAAGCCCATTAAAACCAATCAAACAAAACACATAGCAAAAATTCAAAAATTTGACAAACCATTCTTTTTAATCTTTCTTCATCATCATCATCATCACGACCAGCTTTCAGTAGATTCATATCCACTACAGGATCATCTTCTTCACAGACCTCTTCAGCAGGAATCGTCACTTTAGAATCAAGCTCATTTGCATTAACAAATTGCTCAGAATCAGTTTGAAGACTCGGGATATCAAGCTCGTTTTCAGTAGGTTCCGGTGTGGTAGGCTCGTCCATGTAAGAATCATTGTCTAGGACTGGTTCATCAGAATGAAGACCAGCTTTAGAGAGTTGCATTGGTCTCCTACGTTTCTCCAGCTTAGTATCAGACTGAAACACACAAAAAGGAGAATCAGAACACCATTATTTAACTCTTTAAGATTAGAGGAAATTTCCGGTTTGCTTACTCTTCCAATAGCTTTTGAAGATTGTAAAAGCGACGACACATGTTCAGATATTTTATACTTACTGCAAAAACACAGAAGAAGAAAGTAAATAAGATGATGAATTTGGGAAGTGAAGAGAAGTGCAATCAGACATACTCTAACAACTCAGCGGTTTTGGCAGAGAGGAGCTCTTTCTCCTTGTCTTCCTCCAACTTCTTCAGCTTCCGTTTCTGGGATTTGCTCAAAGTTGTCTTCTTTAACTTGAGATTGTCACACATCTGTGAAGGAACAAGTTAGGATTGAAACTTGCAAACATCTTATTATTACAGAACCCAATGGTTTGTTTGATTAGGGTTTATGTTAAAACCTTATTGGGTCCTTTATTCTTCTTCTTCTGTCTTGGAGGCATTATGTCTAAATTGTTATCTTCTCCCTTCATACTTTGCTGATAAACTGAAAGAAGAAACACAAAATATGTCTGCCTACTGAATGAAGAAATCGTAGAGAGAGGAAGATGAAACTAAATTATTCCAATAAGAGAAATTATCCCTTACCTAAGAATCGAATCGCTCGCCGCGTAATAAAGGTGCGCGATGAATGGTGGTTAAGCTCGGGTCAACAAAAGAAGAAGAATGAAGTCACGTATCTCAAGCCACCGGTTAGGTTGGTATTAGTGGTTTGATATGAGTTGATTCTAATTTCCGGTTAAGTCCTTATATCTCTCTAATATTATTTGAGAAGTCTTTGTCGCTCTCACGTTCATTATCACGATGTTGATTACATTGATACTCTTACTGAATTAAAAATAGTTAAAAATAATATTATTAATTCTTTTATTTACGTTCCTTTTCAAAAATTTCCAAAAAGATATGTAATAAAAAGGAAATTTTTATAGTCATAAAAAAAAATTTAAAACGAAAAATATATG